AAAGCTTAGAAATAGCAATAGCAGAGGGAGAGCGTGGGGCCAGGTCTCACCACCACCTTTTCCTGAACAATCAAAAACCTCCAGCAGCAGCTAAGCTGATATCTGAGGAGCTGCTGCCTCAATCTGGGGGAGCAGGGATCAAGCAGAGACAGATGCTATTGGCTTTTCCTCTGCATTCAGGGTGGCTGAAGCAGTGAGCAGTCAGAAGGCACCTCCATGACGGGTCTGTTCCCACCTCTGAGAAGCATCGCTCCTCTCTTCCAGGCTGCTCCATGCCCCTAGGGATGGAGGACAGAGGGATCCCTGACCAGCGCATCTCCGCATCCTCCTACAGCACCAACATCTTCTCCAGCTGGTCACCCTCCCGAGCCCGCCTGAACATGCAGGGGAGGACCAACGCTTGGAGGCCAAAGGTAGCCCATGCAAGGTGATCCCCAGGCAGGTATCTGGGGCATGGGCAGGCAGGCTGGGTGCTTGCAACCTCTCCTAGCCAGGGCTGTGTGGGGAATATGTGCAGCCACATGCACCGTGCAGGCACACAGGCAGGAGCACCCAGCACCTCCACATGCCTGGTAGGGCAGGTGAATGTGTCTTTCCCATTGCTGCTGAAGGGTTGAAAGGTTACTCCTGTCCTTCCCCAGAGCGACAGCCCCAGTGAGTGGTTGCAAGTGGACTTTGAAGTAACCAAGAAGGTGACTGCAATCATAACCCAAGGTGCCAAAGCTGTCTTCACCCACATGTTCGTGACGGAGTTTGCTGTCTCCACCAGCCAGGACGGTGTGCACTGGACCCCAGTCCTGCAGGGTGTCAAGGAGAAGGTAGGCAGAGCTGCTCCATGGCCAAAGGCAGCCTGTGACACCCCCACAGCAAACATGCTTACAGGAGCTTTTGCAGCAGCAATGATCCAGGCTATGCTTTTCCCTCCCTTAAAGCATTCCCAGCGCTTGTCTGCGTTGTCCCCTCAAGCCATGAGCTCACTGCACCAGTGCAGGAGAGCGCACTCCTGATGTCTCTCTCCTCTCCAGGTTTTCAAGGCAAACCAAGACCACACCAGCACAGTGATGAGCAGCCTGGAGCCCCCGCTCTTTGCTCGCTACGTGAGAATACACCCGCGCCAGTGGCACAACCACATTGCCCTGCGGATAGAGTTCCTTGGCTGTGACACACAGCAGGAGTACTGATGGCTGCAGGACCAGGCATGGGCAGCGCCAGCCTCAGGACCCACACCCAACTGGACACTGGACTCTCACCAGGGCCTGAGCCAGCCCTCCTGCGCTCTGACCATCCCTGCTGCTGGGCAACAGAAGGCCTGCAGAGCTGTCACAGACGCTGGCTTGTTATCAGCATCTTCCTGGCCCTTGTCTACCAGATGCCACATAGAAGTAATGCTGAAGAATTAAACAGTAATTTTCCAGTGTAAAGCTGAAGAATTAAACAGTAATTTTCCAGTATCTCTCTGCACTTGCTCCCCTGCTCCAGCCCTGGAGTCTCCAAGGGCCCAGTCAGCATCACCAGCACTGAGTAATTAATTAGCCCCAGAGCTTCTCAGCTTTGTTTTGCACAAGCACCCACTGCCCAGGCACAGCCCTGGAGGAGGAAGAAGCAGCAAAGATAAAGGCTGGGGGAGGAAGCCCCAGAGTCCATTCCGCAATCAGTGGCTCCAGGGAGGCAGCATTTGCTCAACCTGAGTTAACACTGGGCTTTGGCTCTCCACATCCCTTCATCACCTTCCCAAATGCTCATGCTGTCATGGCTTCTTAAGCAGGAGTTGGGTATCCTCTGCTCATACCTGTAAGGGATGCAGTGTGGGGCAGCTCTGAGGAGAGCTCTGCTGGAAGCACCAGGGGATGGTTGTGATAGGGACCAGGGAGATGAGCTGCAATCAGCCCAGCGGCGTGAGCTCTCCTGGAACCCACACCCAGCAGAGGTCAGAAGCTGGTGTCTCAAATAAAGCAGCTCTGAAAAAGCCTCATGCAACTGTTTGGCTCCACATTGCTGCACAAGGAGCCTTTGCTGTGGCCCTGGCAGTGATTACATTACAGCCCCAGCAGCAGATGCAATCACCCTTTGGCTTGATTGCATCCTGACAATAACCAGGCACAGGTAAAGTGCTGGCCTGAGGAGGGGAATTGGAGCCCTAAGCTTCTCAAAGGGGAGCAGCCCTACCTGAGGCAGGGTAGTCTTCAGCCTCTGAGGACCAAACCTGCCACCTTGGGCCCTTCTCAAGGCAAATTTCCTCAGCTCCAAGGCAACTGCATCTCTTCTGAGCTCAGTGGCCAATGCTGCACAAGGACAGCTGGCTGCAGTCTCTGGTCCACCAGTGCAGAGGAGTATCCCAGGCATGGTGAAGGGCCTGATGGCAGAGAAAACAGGGCAGAGACATCAGCTCAACCCCAAACAGCAGCTGGACTGTAGGCAGAGACACACACACGCTCAGTAACTGGCTCAATCCCCTGGACAAGGGCAGATATCTGCATGCTCTTCCCATGGTCTGAGCCTGACCTACTGATGCTTAAATACCCATCAGAATGAGGGACTGATGGGGATTGGTTAAGAGCAGAGCATCTTTCCAAGACAAAATTGGTGAGGACCAGAAGCCCCCCTGCAGCAGCTGGCTCAGTTGTAGGTGCAATCAGTCACACAGGACTGGCTGCTCTGTATGGTCCTGGCTGCCTTGGCTTTCAGGGCTGGTACCCAACTCTGCTTGGTGAAGCAGGGATATGGGCCCTGCCTTTGCCAGTGGATGCTCAGACTCTTCCTGCCTGCAGAAACGGGCTGCTGTGTTGTGGCACATTTGCCTGGTGACACAGGGTTAGAGCAGAGCAAAAGCTGCGAGCACCAGAGCTCCCTCTGGGTGGTTTTCAAAGCGGAAACACGGCTGAAATCTCTGCAGGCGGCTGAGCAGCCTTCACCGACCGGCCCCGAGCAGCTCCAGGATGTTCTCCAGCCGCTCAGGAAGCAGTGTAGGAGCTACGCTGAGGGAGAGCACCGGGAAGGGGCTGTGGGCAGGCACGCAGATGTGTCAGAGCTTGCCAAGCTCCAACATCCATTAGAGGAAGCATCCCTTGACATTTGTGGGGAATGGAGACCAGACGCTGTTTCCTCCCCACGCAATGTAGATCTGAGATGCATCATAGTTTGCCCAGGTCACAGGCGTTTCTGTGCAGGGGGAGGCTTGACCAGCACAAAGCCCTCTGCCTTTCAGACAGGGGGTGCTCCTGCCTATTCACTGCCCTCAAAGAGCCCTGTCATGAGTCAGGGCTGTTTCTGAATCTGGCTTCTCCTGTGCTGGATGGAGAGCCCCTACCTGAGCCAGACGTGAGGGATATATGGAGCTATTGTAACCGGGAAGGTGGGCACCATTCTCGGAAGAAGTTGCCAGCACATAACCAAAACAGGCAGCAGAACGCTGAAGAGAGCACCTGAGCAGGGACCACGGCCAACAGGGAGTGAACTTGGGCAAGCGCAGCCTGACTCCCGCTTCAGCCATGGCACTAGGACCAAGCTGCTCACCGCCTCCTCCGCCTTGGTTTCCCTGTATGTAACCAAGAAGGAATGAACAGACTTAGACTTCCCTTTTCTGTCTGTCAGGTGTCTCTTGTCACATTTCTCACTCCTACTACATATTCCACCATTCACTGCAGGGCTTCTCTCTGCTCTCCATATCTCTTGCCTCCTACCACACGTTGTTATCAGCTTGCTTCTAGCCCATGGAGCTGAGGTGGCTGTGCTCAGGATGTGCTCAGGGCAGCATGTTTCAAAGCCATGCCCCACAATCCCACTGTATGTCCATACTCTTCCCCAACAACCCATTCTCTTCAGGAGAGGCCAGGCTTGCTCTCCTCCCAGGTTGCCTCAGCCTCTGGCTGAGGATGCTCCATAAATATGTATGCTACTTATACAGAATTTACTTAGCATAACTTGCTTAGCTTTAGCAGCTAAATTTGCCGAAGCCTTAGGCTGCAAGCTGTGGACTTTCATCCAGATACACTGAACTTTTACCTAGTTGTGTAAAAGAAGGCCCCAGAGCTGGTTCAGACTGGAAGATAAGGAAGCGAGGAAGGCTGCTACCATTGTCAGCTGACACAGCAACCTTAGAGATAAGAGTAAAAAAAAACCCCAGAAGAAAAAACACTTAGAGACAATGAAGGGACCCAGTGAAGAACAGGAAGACCCCCAAACCATTAGGGTTTAGGTAATGGTCATATTAATTACTGTATAATTAATATAAAAATAGTCATACTAACTACTGGTCAAAACTGTTGCATGAAGAAAGGGTGAGGAACTTTGATTGTAAGGGTGTAATTGCCAGGGTTTTCTTTGTTTGGGGTCCCTCTTTGGAGGCATCCAGCTTGAGCTGCTCTGCGTGTCAGAGCCAAGAAAAAGGAGGATTCCTGGTGTCTCTCTGCCCTCCCCAGTAGCGAGTTCTGCTGCAAGACTCAGTTTCTCAGAAGTCCCTGGATCTCCTCACCTTGGAGCACCCCAGAGCACAGCAACCCCTCTCAGCACACCTGCAGGGCCCAGGGATGACCATTAGTTTGTGAGAGCCCTCTATGCACCAGCACTGCTTTGGAGACGTGCTCCCCATGTCATCGCTGGGCCTCTGCCCTGCTTGTGAGGGGATGAAGCCTGCCTCAGACCCAGCCTCCTGCGGTGATTTTGGCGACCACATGAGCTGTTGCTAGGGATGCAGGCTTCCATGAGCATCCCGGCCTGTCAGTGCTTGGGCACACACCGCGGCCGGCACGACCCAGCAGGGGCTGTTCGCAACAGAGACACGATGGGGAGAAGACACCCCACGGTGGCAGCCGGGCGATGCTCGGAGCGGCTGCTGGCGGTGCGAGGACCCCGAGCCCCATCCCCTCCGCTCCATCCCCACCAAGGGCCGCGGGGCACCCACCCGGGCGGGACGCGGCTCCATGCGGCGGCGCTGCCGGCGGGGCCGGCTCTGCTCCTGGTCCTGGTCCTGCCCCTCCGCTGGCTCCGCCCGCCCGCCGGCCTTCCCCCGCTGTCACACGGGCGGAGCGTGCGGGGAGCCCGCGGCGCTGCTGCAGCCGGGGCCGTGGCCGTGGCCGGGGCCGAGCCGCTCTGCTGGAGCCAGCGGAACCGGCTGCAGCTGCTGGCGGCGGTGGCGGAGCGGCAGCGGCGGCGGAGCGGCGGAGGGATGACGCTCAAGTCGGGGCGCAGCGCCAGCGCCGGCAGCATGCGGACCGCGCTGTCCGACCTCTACCTGGAGCACCTCCTGCAGAACCGGGCCAAGCCCGAGGTGAGCGGCGGCCGGAGGCAGCCCCGATCCGCCCCAGCAGCGGCGCCTCCGGGAGAGCGCGACCCCGACTCCCCCATCCCTGCCGAGGCCGGTCAGAGAGCCCCAGGGTGGCCCTTCCCGTGTCCCCCTTTTCCCCTGCTGGCCCTTAGCTCAGCACCCTGCGCCCCGGGGCCCTCTCCATCCCGTCCTTCCCGCACACACAAGGGGAGCAGGGCCCCTAAGGCAGAGACCCGATGGGAGGCAGGAAATGGACACCCATGTATGTGCCTTGCATGCCGCACTGCTGGTCCCCAGCACCCCAGGAGCAGGGCTCTTTGCTGGGGGTACCTTGGGGGAACGGTCAGCCAGCATGGCCGGGCAGCGAAGAAGGAGCTGAAGGGAGCAGGGGAGGAAGGCTTCAGCATCCTGCCACGGAGGAGCTTGTGCTTGTTTTGCTGCAAAGTTATAGCTGGTCTGATCTGGAACTGCCTGTCACATGAGCTGATTCAGCTTGAGCAACATCCAGGTCTGCAGCATGGGCTGGAGGGGTGCTGGTGATCATGGGCTTAAGCCCCAGAGAAGGAGGATGCAGCCAGCCCCTCGCACACTGACTCTGGCACAAGGAATGGGCTGTCACCCCACTTCCAGGGAAGAAGCCATGGGTTCTGCTTGGAGGGCTCCTTCCCCAGGTGTCATCTGGGGTAGCTTGGGTACCACCAGGAGAAGGTCAGCAGTTCCCAGTGCTAAAGAGCCGCTGCTTTTGTCCCAGCAGAGATTGTCAGCTCTGAACAGGAGTCCCTGATGGAGCCATGGCATAATGTGCCTGGGCTGAGGGTTCGTTGTGGGGAGCCTCAGAGAGCAGGGAGGAAATTGTCCTGAAGTGCTGTCCTTGGCCCATCCTGTTGGACACTAATGCATCCAAAAGAGGCTTGTCTGATATATCCCACGCCAGTGGTTCGTGCACTTTTTATGGCTCAACCTTGGCAGACTGCTTACAAAGAGAAAAAAGAGAGATAAAAAGCTTTTAAAGCCAAGTGGCTGGATCAGGCAGCTGCTGAGAGGAGCTCTCCCATCCCTCTGCCTGCACGATCCAAGCCGAGGGCCTGCCTGGCTGCAGGCAGAGCAGGGATAAATCACCAATGGCAGGCAGGAGGGCATGGAAAATGTAGGAGCTGGCCTACAGCTCCCTGCTGCTACAGTATGTTTATTCCAATAGGGATAAAGGGAGAGATGGTGAACTCGGATCTGCCTTGGGTCTTTTAAGAGGAGCTCTGCAGAGCTGGCACCCAGGCGCGGTTACATGTCCTGAGCTTGCCAGCCACTCGTGCTTGTCATGGGCATACAGAGATGGTGCTGACCCATGGATGCTGTGGGCCCCTCTGTGGGAAAGGGGGGGATATCACCCAGCAGCAGCTCTGGGGAGGGGAACTGGGTCTGGCTGGAGTCAAACAGAGTTTCTCTTCCCATTTCTTGTGTTCCTCCCTTGACACACAAGCCCTCGGTGCGTGGAAGCCGTGTTATTGCTAGAAAACAAGCCAAAGTGGAGGGAGCCACTTGCCCTCTTCCCGTGAGCCCATATCTTTTCCTTATCTCCCCACTGGCAAACACAGATGTACCAAAAAGGTGTGTGGGCTTTATTCCCAGCTATGCTCCTGGCTGTCAGGGTGCATGGTTCCTTATTGCCTGTGACTCAATTGATCAGCTGTAAAATGGGAAGCAAATGTGACCTTTGGGAGCCTGGTAAAGAAAAAGAGGATGCTTCTGGGGAGACCCGAGCCTGTGGGTGCAGAGGGGACACTGCGTATCCCTGTGGGCAGTGGTTCCTGACATCTACCTGCACCAGCTCCAAAGCAAACTGAGGCCACGTTCCTGAGGGATCAAATCCTGAAGTGACCGTGGGCAAAACTAGGGGTTGAAAACTGAGCAAAACTTCTGTCCTTGACCAAAATGAAGTGTGGGGGGCTGGCTCCAGGCTTTGCATCCCACATGCGTTCTCATTTCATGTTGTTCCATTCATGTTCCAGTCTATGACGGCTTCTGGAGAGAAGTGGTTTTGCAGGGCTGCTTGTGGAAGGTGGGGATGGAGCGGCCAGGCAGCTCCTTGGGTTTCTGCTGTCAGCGCTGTGGCTTTACTGGCTCTCCTTTGGAGGTGACTGGTTTCATAAGCACATCTGGAGGCTGCATCAGCCTTTCCTGGTGGGAAAATGGAGCCTCAGCAAAACTGACTGTGCTCCCATGAAAACCTGGCCCTTCTCCATTGCAGAACTCCATGATACGGAGTCAGTTTGAGGGCGTGCAGAGCTAGTGGCATCTTCTAACCCCCACAACCACTTGTATCCCTCTCTGTTCCCCTTCCCTCTGCAACGTACTGGTGTTGCTGGGCCTTTTCCCGGTGTTAGCAATGTTTGATTCAAATGTCTTTCTGGTTTGTTGCTGGAAGGGATCTCGGGTGAGGTTGCTCCTTGTGCTGGCAGACCTGAGAAGGCAGTAGCCCCCAGCAGGGTTGGATTACTTCTAAATGCCCTGTTGCTTCTCAGCCTGCTGGAGCAGCCCCAAACCAGCTCCCAGAGTCAAGGCTGGGGGTTTGTTTTGCTAGTTTGCTCTTTTTACACATTGCTGTATTGCTCAAACCCTGCTGAGACTGTGATGCACGCATCTGGTGGATGGTGGGGGGCTGAGGTTGGAGCACTAGAGGGTGGGAGGAGACATTGCTGGGCCAGGCACCAGCCTCCCTGCACGCACCCATGGTAATGATAATGTGAGGGATAATGATCCTGGAGGGAGCTGGGATTCTGTGGCACAGCGTGTCTCCCTGCCAGCCGAGAGGGTAGGCTCAGGGGATCCCAGCTCCAGGATTCCCTCCTGTATCCAAGCTGCTGTACTTTGGGGGCCGGCTTGGTGAAGCCAGCAGCGTCTGACCACATCCCCACAGAGCGCCCTGCTCTTCCACAACCACCCAGTGTTGAAACCTCTTGGTTCGAGCAGCAAGGAGAGCCCAGGACCCAAAGATGCCCTTTGCACCTTTGCGGTGCTGCTTTCCCCAAGTGCTGCTCCAGCCTCCTGCAAACAAGCTGCTGGTTAATGTTTGATGTGCCCGTGGCGCGCAGCCCGGCTGAGCCAGCACAACAGCCGGAGCAACCCTGGCACATGAGTGACCCCGCTGGGGACAGGACAGCAAGGTCCTCGCCAAGGATTGCTCCACACCGATTGAATTCCCTCCTGAGGAATTCGCTGCCCTGCCCTCTGCCTTGAGATGTGAAATCCGGGCTCTTGAGGCAAAGGCAGGCAGGGAGCTGGGGCTCACCTCTTTGGAGCTGGTTGCGTTGCCTCCATTGCAGGTGAGGATGTGTGCCCTCAGCAGCCAGCTGCAAGGCACCCCTATGGCTGAGCAGCAACCCTGGGTGCTGTCACACAGCTCAGCCCCACAGCCTCCTCGCCCCATGTGTGCCCCCAGGCTGGCCCCAGCGGTGACCAGCTCAGAGCAGCAGTGGCTGGTGGCCGCAGAGCGGGCTCTTAGCAGCGCTCGCAGATGTTTCCTGCAGAGCAGAACGTAAGTAGCTGGGTATGGCCGGCTGCCAGCAGGAGCTGAAAGGCTCTTGAGGTCACAGGCGATGCAGGGCCAAGCCAGACAAGAGCGTGGTGGCTGCTGGAAGAGTGCAGGGTGGGTGATAGGCACGGCTGGCTCACATGAGAGCCACACGCGTGTCCTGTGGCTGCTGGATGCAGGACACCGGGGCTGGAATCTCCTGGTCCTCCTTGCGCACCAGGCATTTTCCCATCCCCGTCCACTGGCTGCCCACTGTGGTCAGGAAAAGCCCATGCCATCCCAGCATGGCTCTGACTGGTGGCACGGCAGCCGGTCCCTGGTGACAAGGGAGTCACCAGGGTGGCAACAGTGCTGCGTCAGCATCAAGGGCTGGGTGCTTTCTCCAGCTCTCAGCAAGAAGCAAAGGTGAGGGCTGGGAGGCTCAGCTGGCAGCGATGGTGGGGACAGTGACTCCCAACCCTTGGAGCAGGCTGTGCTTGGGACCTGGGTCACTGGGCTCTGCTGAGCCTGGAGGTTTGAAGCCAGGGGTTGCATGGGGAAACACTTTGCCAGGGCCTGACCAAGATAAGGGTGATCTGTGCTGACTCAAACCCCCTCACGGGCACTTTGGCCCCGGGCAAGGCTGGTGAAGTTCCTCATCCTCCTCTTCCTTCTCCCAGTAGCTGGCTCAGCAGAGAGCTGGCTCTGGGCACTGCACTGCTGGATCTGTCCCCCTGCCCTGCGCATGGTATGGTAGCAGTGTGCCCTGCTGGGGTTGGCAAGACAGGCTTGGGGGGGCATCTGGGCTGGGATTCAGCCTCCTCCTCCTCCTCTATGTTTAAGCCATTGGCAGCTGGAGCCCACGTGGTCGCTTTTTTTCCTCTGAGGAGGAGATTGGTTGGCTCTTTTATAAGTGGTTGGCTTAAAAATAAATCCCGCATCTTCCCTGTTGCTGCAGTGTGGGCACAAGACTCCCTCCATCCTTTCTGTCCCAGCCCAGCCCCACCAGTGCTTAAGGTCAAGACTACAGCAGTGCCCATGGTCCATCCCTCTCTACCAGTGCCTCTGTCCTGGCTAGTCCTGGCTCTGCTGCCTCTGCCTTTCCACCATGACACAGGGCTGGTCTCAGCTTGACAGCGCTCTGGCACATCCCTACCCAAGCCGATTCTGTTGTGGTTCAGAGCCATGCCTGCACCCCACCAACCAATGCTTTTCACCCCAGTTGCACCCACGTGAACCTCCCTCCCCACGGCCTGGCTGCACCTCACCCCTTGGCAGCAGTGGGGCTGCAGCCTCTGGCTCTGGGCTGGGTGAGAGCAAGCCGGGGCAGAGGGTCAAGGCACCACTTCCCAGCCGCTGGCTTGGAGCCCAGGGTGCTGGCACTCCACTGGATGCATCGAGGAGAAGTGTTGGCTGTGCCTGCATGGGCACTGTGTGCAGCGGTGCTGGTGCAGGACTGCAGCCAGCGAGGGCCTTGCTGGTGTCCCCGCAGGTTTGCTGGCTGTGCTTCCCCAGGTGGGCGCTGCTGGGAGCACGCTGCAACCTGGACAAGAGCAGAGGGTTCCCCATGGCTGAAAGCCCCTGCTTGGTTTGCTGGTGCTGGTCTGTTGCTAGGAGCTGGGGAGGGAGACAGGGAGTTTGTGGATTGCTTGGGAACACATTACCTTGAGTGCCTGGATGCACGTGTGGCTCCGCACTGTGTCGGTTCTCCATTGATGTAGATGAGGAGAGGCTGAACTTGCGAGCTGAGCAAGAGCAGAGCTTGGCCCTGGTCTCAGGGGTGTCACAAACTGCTCCATTCACTTGGTGAAGCTGTCCTGGGCTTTATGCTCTGCAGCAAGCCAGCTGTGGGCCAAGTGCTGCTGCAAGACACAGGTAGTGTTTGGGACTTACTGATGCAGAAGATGATCAGCTGTGGACTCTTGGCTTCTGGTGCCTGTAGCGTGTCCAAAGTTTTCTTACCTCCTGTGTTTCCCAGGCTGGAAAACTGCAGATCAAGCCCACATCCGTATCTTCGAGGCTGAAGCTCTTTCACAGAATCATAGAATAGTTAGGATTGGAAAGGACCTTAAGATCATACAGTTCCAATCCCCCTGCTATGGGCAGGGACACCTCACACTAAACCAGGGCACCCAAGGCTCTGCCCAACCTGGTCTTGAACACCACCAGGGATGGAGCATTCACAGCTTCCCTGGGCAACCCATCCCAGTGCCTCACCACCCTCACAGTAAGGAACTTCCTCCTTATATCCAGCCTGAACTCTTTTTCTTCTGTTGCTCTTCCAGTCCTGCCCTCCAGCCCACGGGTCTCTGCTCCCCTGTGTCCCACTTGCACCCCATGCACCCTAACATGGTGGAGTAGCTCAGCCCCCCAGCAGGGCGCCAGCACCCCCAGGCCCCTAAACCCCAGTGTTTGTTTTGCCCCGACAGGCCATCACCCAGTCCCCGAACGCCATCACTGAGGACATTTATACCAACGGCTCAGTGACCGGGGGCAGCCCTTCCCACAGCAACGGCCGCGAGATGCGCAAGATACGCCTCGTCCAGTTCGAAAAGGTCATGGAAGAGCCCATGGTGAGAGCTGGCAAGATCCCAATCCCAAGGCCTGGTGGCACCCGGGAGGGGCAGGTAGAGCCGTGCCAACAGGCTGGCCTCAGGGGAAGCAGGAGGTCACTGGAGCCCTTAGCCATGGGATGAAGGTGCTGGATCCTGCAAGCCCAACGTGGGAGCACGTCCCATCAAAGGGTGGTGATGCTTGTGCCGAGAGGAGCTGCAGGGGCTTCCCTAAGCCAGTGCGCAGCCCAGCATGGACATGGGCATGGAGAGGACTTTGCTGAGAGCGCAGGAGCTGTTGCCCTGCAGCAAGCAGTCATGGGTTTTCCTGTCTTCCAGGGAATCACGCTGAAGCTCAACGACAAGCAGAGCTGCATGGTGGCCAGGATCTTCCACGGGGGCATGATTCACAGACAAGGTAACGAGGCCCTCATAGAGGCAGTGTGTGGCATGAGCATCTGCAGAGATAGGGTGGCCCCCCAGCACTGCTGGCTTTCCCCTGCGATGAGGACATCTGTGTCCGTTCCTCCAGCAAGGATATGCCAGGAGCTCGGGACTCGCTGGTCTGTCTGCGTGGTTGGCATGTTAATGCACTGGAGGCTTTAGGGAGAAATAAAGGATAGGGGGAAGGGCTCTCCCAAAAAGGAACCAGAGACCGTCTGTCTCCATCTCGTGATGGGGTCGCTGTAACAAGAGATGGGTCATAGCCCAGGGAGTGCATGGGAAGCTCTTCCCACTCCTAAAGTGCGCAGGTGGGACGGGCTTGCTGTGGATTGGCTTTGCAGACCACATGAAGGTGCCAAAAGACATAAATAGGTGCTACTTTCTGGGTTTGGGTCTTGCCAAGGGGACATGGGAAATGAGATGTTCTGTGCTTTAGAAGAAGAGGTCCCTTTTCCAGCCTTGGATCCAAGTGGGGAGTCTGAGCTTACCCCTGCCAAAATAACATAGGAGTCATTCCAGTAACACTGTTGGAGCTTGATTTTATAGCAGTGTATCTGAGGCTGTAATCTGGCTGGGTATACAAACCGAAACCACACACAGTCAAGACAGCTCCTTAACAGGAGGCTGTCACTTGGCTGCAGGTGAGGTACATGGGGCTGAAACAGGTACTCTGATCAGTCTAAAGCACTGAAAGACACACAGTGGAAAGCAACCTGGTGACCTTCAGGCTAGGTGAAGACCGTGTGTTGGGTGGAGGGGCTTTAATCCCATGTGCTTAGGTGACATGTGTGGCTCAATGGGCTCCAGGCAAACACCCCAGTGTCCTGGCCACAGCTTGCCCAGGGGGTCGGAAGGCTGGTTGGGTTTGATGAGTGGCTGCTGTCCAGTCCTGCACTTTGATGTTTCTCCTGTTGCTGGCAGGCTCCCTTCACGTGGGGGATGAAATCATAGAAATCAATGGGCAGAGTGTGAGCAACCACTCGGTAGACCAGCTGCAGAAGATGCTGGTAGGTATCTGTGTCTGGCATGGTTGTTCCCTAGGAAAGACCCCCTTTGGCCTGCAGGTGTGCATGCTGGGGTCACCATTCACCCCCTCCTAGATACGAGAGCCAGCACACAGCTGCCTGCCGCAGTGTGGTGTGGCTGTACCAGGGATGCTGTGATACAGCCGAGCATCAGGTCTCTATACAGCCATCGTGGTCTGTGCTTGCTGCTTGTTTCTGGCCCTGGGAGCAGCAGTGAAGGCTGTTGGCTGGGGCCCTCACATGCTAATGTGTGTGGGGCTTGGAAACCACCTCTCCTTGCCAAGGCTGCTGTGCAACTCCAGACCAGGGGCTGGCTGCTCTTGCAGACCTGAGGCTCTCCTATGGGACTCCTTGGTGCTGTTTTCTTGCTGTTGAGGTCATGGTGACCCTGATAGGTCCTTGCTGGAGACAGCTTTGTGCCATGCTCCTCTCCTGCGTGGTAGGACATCCCTGCTCCAAGGAGGAGCTTGTCTTTGCCTCATGAGGATGGTTGGCCCAGGAGGCCCCTCCAAGCCAAGTGTGGTTATACCCACAGGACCGTGTAGGTCGTTGTGTGGAGCCACAGTGCATCTGGCTTGTGGCAGGCAAGGGAGTGCTGTGCCTCTTAATGTCACCCGGAGGGAAGGAGGCTGCTGCCTCCAGGCACCACCTCCTCCAACTCTTCTTTCTCCCCTTCCTTCTTCACTAGAAAGAAACCAAGGGCATGGTCTCAATAAAAGTCATTCCCAACCAGCAAAGCCGCCTGCCTGCTCTCCAGGTAAGTGCAGCATCCAGACCCACTGTGCTGGGATACGGCTGTGGGGCTGGGGAGGGACCAAAGCAAAGCACAGGGGACCAGTGCTGGAGAGAGAGCTGTGCTGAGCCATGGGGATGGCTGCCAGTGAGGATGAAGGGACCTATCCTGTGCTTAGATTGCTGCAAACGAGCAGATTTGGGCCCTATTTGCCCAATGTGTCTGTAGGAATGCTTGCTCCCGAGCCGCAGCGGTACATGCGTGCAGTGTTCGGGGATGATAAAGCAGTGGCTTGGGCACACCAGGAAGCATCAGGGAGTTTCCTGCCACCTTCAGAGCCGCAGCCGTTAGAGCCACATCCCCCTGGCAGGGCCACAGCAGCTCCTCCCGGGCTCTGGCTGCTCCGCACCGTCCCTGATGCTCAGAGCATCAGTGCAGGGAGGGTGGCGCAGGTCCGGATGCCACCAGCACGCTTGCGAGCAGCGAGTGGGAGGACGGAAGCGCTGGGGGAGAGGAAGGCAGCTCCTTGTGCTGCCTCTGCTGGGGTGGGGGCGATGTGCTGAGACACGGTGACACTGCCTGGCTCTGCCTTTGGAGTCCTGCTGCGGCTCAGGATGCTCAGGATAGGGGAGGGTGGCTCCTATGCCAAGGCTTAGGTGTGTGGTGGCTGGGATGCAGGATGCTGTCCTGTCTCTGGGTGCAGGAGCCAATCCCAATGCAGGCACCGCATCATGGACAGGCAGGAGGGGGAGAGGAGCTCAGAGGCAGAAGGATGAGCTGGGGGAGCCCATGGCACCCTCTTCCCTTACACAGAGCAGTGACATGTGAACACGGTGACAAGTGAAAGCTGCCTCTGTGCCTTGCTCAGCACACGCTGTCCCCATTGCAGCTCACCCAGCCTTGCATGTGTTTGTTTATCAAACAGCCCCATGCCTGTCCTGCCGTCCGTCTGCCCTCCCTGGCCTGGCCCAGCCAGCTCAGTGCCAGGGGAAAAGCTACCTCTGAGGAGCAGAACACAGCTGCTGACTCACCCAACACTGGCCATGGGCTAAGGGAAGGACACAGGGGACAAACTCCTCCAGTTGTCCTTCCCCTTGCTGTGCCCAGGGCCGTGGTGCTGTCGGCGCATGGGCTGCCCGCATCTCTGCTTGTTGCAGTCCATTGCTGAGAGTGTTCTCCTTCACTGGATCCCTGTGATGGCCTTCATTGGAGGGCCTGGCAGGCAGGACAGTGCAGGTCCCAGCATCACAAACCCCGCTCACCTGGCTTGCCCTGCAGCCTGGTAACCAGCCACTTTGAGGCCCCTGAGTGTCTCTTGACATTGGTCCTAATGCACTGACCACTGTGGGCTCTCGAGGTCACCTCCAACCTGTTCCCAGGCACAAACAGCAGCCTTCTGGCTTTACAGACCAGGGCTTCCTATGCTGGTACCTGCTTGGTACCTGGGCTTCTAGCCCCAGGGAGGGGACAGGCAGCAGGCAGGCAAATAGCTGGCATTTGGAGCTGGCCCTTTGCAGTCTGTGGGTGATGCCTGGAGCTGTCTGATGCTGATTCCTAATAGGTATAAGGCAGGGTCTTTCCAAAAGTGACCTGTGTCTGCGTTGGGGTACTGGGGCTTGTGGGAGCAGAGGGCTCCAGGCAGTGCTTGCTGTGCATCCCTCGTGTGTATGTGTTGGTGGCCGGCTTCCTGGTACCAGAGAGTGATTTCAAAGCAAGCATCAGTCCTTATCCTGAAAGGAGATTCCACTCTTACTGTCTCCCGTTGTGAGCTCTCATGTCACAGCTTGACCCCTATGCTCTGCTTTTCTGGCACTGAAAGGGAGCCATTATTCACGTCCTGCTGGCCCTGTGCCTCCAGCAGCACTGCTGAAGGAGGACCCACTGTGGGACATGGTTTTGTGTGGAACAAGGACAGCATGGTTTACCCTACCCAGTGAGGATGACTTTCCCGGCCCTGCCTGTCCCACCTGAGCACAGCACATAGGCATCACCCCACAGGAATCCCTTTGCCCCTTTGCTACGTGCTGTGTTTCTAGGATAAATAACTTGATAGGGTGCTCGGGTCAGGGACACATTGCAGCTGCAGCAGTGTTTCAGGTGAGGAACCATTCACCCAGGCACTGAGAGCAAACAGCAGTGCCGAAGACACCGGGTGCACAGGCGTGCTCTGCCCTCCTCCCAGGGATAGGTGACTGTCATCCACCCTGTTGCTCCCTGACAGTCTGTTCTTCCTGAGCAGCCTTCCTGGAAAACAAGCTCCATGTGCAGAAGGCTATAATGCCATTCCTTCCTGACTGTGCAAAGATACGAGGGGCTGTGAGAGCCCAAGGAGGGCTTGAGGCCATGGGATGCAGCAGCATCATCTGCCCTGGTGGCAGCAGGCACTGTAGACTCCCTCCCAAAGAGGGAGGGACAGGGAAGGACCAGTTTCCCATGCTTTCCTGGTGCTCGAGGCTTGCCCAGCCCCAGGATGGTGGCACAGTGGCCTGGGAGCAGCAGCAGCAGCTCATTTGCCATTGCAGCTGTGAGGAACGTAATGTGAGAGTGGCTGATGCTGAAGAGGCCAGGACAGCCCTAGGCAGGGATGGACAGGACATCGCAGCCTGGGCTCCCCAGAGCCCTGTGCCATGCAGTGGGGTGCACAGAGGTGGGGAGAGGCCAGGGCACAGCAGCTGGGGATTGAGATGTGGCTGTGCCCAGGACATGGGATTGCAGGGGGTGATGTTTTAATGGCTTCTCTCTGCTCACCCCATTACAGCCCCTGTATTGGTCTCCCCTCTGGCTGGTTCAGCTCACTAGCACTGTGCAGCAGTGTAAGGGGGGGCTACATGTCAGGGTCCAAGCTCAAGCTGTGGAGCATGCTAGAAGTTGCAGTTGTTCCAATGGATCCCAGTAGGGCCAAGATGCCATCCTCCTTCCTTCTTCCCTCCTCCCTCTTCCCAGCATGTCGCACTGCAGCTCCATGCTCATGAGCTTCCCCCACGGCTTCGTGCATCTCCTTTCTCCCTACCTGGCCTCATGGGGTGTGCAAAGCAGCAGGGGCTGGGGTCTCTCCACTGCCCTGTGGGGCTGGGATCAGCCACCCCGCATGCCCGTGCTGACGCCAGCCTGCTCTCCCTTTGGCAGATGTTCATGAGGGCGCAGTTTGACTATGACCCCAAGAAAGACAACCTGATCCCCTGCAAGGAAGCGGGGCTGAAGTTTCAGACCGGTGACGTGATTCAAATCATAAACAAGGACGACAGCAACTGGTGGCAGGGCCGGGTGGAGGGCTCCTGCACCGAGTCAGCAGGACTCATCCCTTCTCCAGAGCTGCAGGAGTGGTAGGTGCCTGGGGTCGGTCTGGATCTGGGAACGGAGGTGGGAACAGTGACCATGCGCTATGAGGAGCGTGGCTGCGTTGGGTAACACCAGTGTCAGTGCTGGGAAGAGGAGGCAGGTGTCTCCTGTCTGCCACAGGGTGAGCCTTTACCTGTGCCAGCAGCCACCAGTGCATGCCTAAGGGACAACCCCACTGCTCCCCCTGGGCCTGGGGTGATGGCCGGGCTATGGTGGTGTTCTCCTCTCTTGGCAGGCGTGTGGCAAGCATCACCCAGGCCGGTCAGAGCGAATCCCCGAGCTGCAGCCCCTTTGGGAAGAAGAAGAAGTGCAAAGATAAATACCTGGCCAAGCACAGCTCAAGTGAGTGTGAGCAGGGCAGTGGGCTCCATCCCCTGCCTCTGGGACAGATGTGTCCACGGAGTCAAACCAAACAGCCCAGGCACCGAGCTCCTGTGCTCTGTGCAGTGACAACCACTATGGCTCTTGGCACTAAGCTCCTTGGGAGGCTGGGCTCCTGAGCCTCAAACCCCATGGGCTGCTGACTGCAATTAGGGAGCAGCCTGAACTGCTCCCCACAACGGCTGTGTCCCCAGTGGGGCAGGGACCCTGCGAACACCCTGTGCTAAGCACGCCTCGTGCCAGGCGGGTGCCTGAGGATGTGCTGGCTCCCAGCCTGGCCTGCAGCTCCGACCAGGAACAAACAAGGCCATAAATCAGCAAAATAAATACAGCTCCCCCAGCAACAAGCTCCCTGCTGCCTCCCCATGCAGCTCCCAGCTCCTGCTGTCCTGAGCTGAGTTACTGACTGAGAGCTGCCCTGGCTTCTCCTTTGGTGGCTGCTGGTCCAGCTCCCCATAGCCCTCCACAAGCTGCCCTATTCCCCAAGCAGGGATGAGCTCCCAGCCCAATCCTGATGCTCCCTGCATTTGCCCAAGGACCTGCCTTTGGTCTGACACACACACAGCCCTGCTGCTGCAGCCAAACCAGCTCTGACCACTCGTTTCTCCTCTGCTTCAGTTTTTGACCAGCTGGATGTGGTTTCCTATGAGGAGGTGGTGAGGCTGCCTGCCTTCAAGAGGAAGACTCTGGTGCTCATTGGTAGGTCCTGTGTGCTGTGGGATCCTGCGGGGCTGTACAGGGCTGGGGCAGTGTGGCCCTTAGCTCTGGGGAGCATTTCTAATACCTGGAGCAGGCACCAAGCAGGCTGACCTCCACGTGTAATTGTGCATGGTCTGGCATCTGCACTGCGATGCTGGGCTTGGGTTAACTCGGGGGTTTCCAGCTCCTGAATGTCTTTATGGGTGATTCTTATTGAAAGCAGCTCTGATCTGCCCAGCTGCCTTTGGGCCAAGCACTCAAGCACTGTGGGTGCTGAGCACTGTGGCCATGGGCAGCCCAGCTCAGCAGGCACCAGTCTGTTCTCCAGCTGAATGTGCCCAGGGCAGGGAGTGCCACTTCCAGGGCTGGAATACACCACAGACCAGCTCAGGCAGCAGGTCCTGGGCAAGGCTGTGGGAGCTCTGTGCTGTTCCCCAGGCTTCCCCGAGCCCATCTCCAGCTTCCATCCCTCCTTGTCTGCAGGGGCCAGCGGCGTGGGCCGTAGCCACATCAAGAACGCTCTGCTCAGCAACAACCCAGACAAGTTCATGTACCCACCCCCTTGTAAGTACCCAGGGCAGAGGCACAGGACATGCTCCCTGTCACCTCCTTGAGCCAGGGCCTTCTGACAGCAGATGGGACACAGGGAGATGTTCCTTGCCACCAAGACCCTGATGCTGGAGGCCACCCTGTCTGCTGTCCCAATGGATGCAGGGTTGCTACCACCTGCATTGCAGGCACCTCACTCTTCACATCCTAACAGCTCTCATTGGGCTTGCTGGGTTCCCTAGTGGCCCCAAGCAGGAAAGGGGATTAGTACAGCCAAGTCTTGAGGGCCTCTGTGGGCTAGCCTCATGCTCAACAAGGGAATGCCCAGGTCATCCAGAGCAGAGGCTTCCCGCTCTGCTCTGTTCCCTGCACCCACCATGTCCCCCTCTGTGCAGACACCACACGGCCCCAGAAGAAGAACGAGGTGGATGGGAAGGACTACTACTTTGTGTCCACCGAGGAGATGACCCGGGACATCTCAGCCAACGAGTTCCTGGAGTTTGGAAGCTACCAGGGAAACATGTTTGGCACCAAGTTTGAAACAGTGCACAAGATCCACCAGCAGGACAAAGTCGCTATTTTGGACATTGAGCCTCAGGTAGGGAGCAGGGGATGAGGTGGCCACCGACTGAAGTCCCTATGCACTGTCCCTGCCCTCCCCTTGCCCACCCACCCTTCTCAAAGGAACAAGCCAGGGAGCACTGGGGCAGCATTCCCATTCCCACATAGGGGTGCAGTGAGGATGTTCCATCACAGCACACATGTGGCTATGACAGCAGGGCCAGCACTGGCCTCGCACAAGGTCCCTTTCCCCTCTCCAGCACCAAGTGTGTGAGTGCTGCTTTGCACTGTGTCCAGTACCCAGCTCAGAGCAGGCTGGGGATGCCCTTCCATCCTCCCCATGGGAACCCTCTGGGAACTGCACCCTTCTCTCTCTCCACAGACCCTGAAGATCGTCCGCACGGCCGAGCTCTCCCCGTTCATAGTGTTCATTGCCCCAACAGACAAGGCAGAGCAGGTGAGTGCCAGGGCACTGAGCCCCAGTCCTGCTCAGGCAGAACTGCAGCAGCCAGGGCTTGCTCTCTGCTCCGTATCAGCTGCTTCTGCTGCATTGATCCTTGTGGTCCAGGAGAGCAGAGCTGAGAGACAGGAACTGTGTAGACTCCCTCCCAGACTGACACCCCCAGCAACCCTTATGCTTGCAGTATACTTAGCCCCTAACATGTAGTGGGGTGTCCAGCCCAGCACCCAGGGCCATCTCCAGCTGCAGCACTGCTGCAGAGCAGGAACATTTATCCTGCCGTTGGCTATGCAAATGGGACACACACACATACAGCAGCTCCTTTCATTCTCTGCCTCATTAAGCTGCTCATCTCTCCAAAACTGGGATGAAAGCAGCACTGATGCTGCAGTTAACTCATGCAGCACCACAAGGCTAGCAGCCACACGCTGCCATTGCCCAGGAAGCCCCTGATGCGGGGAGCAGTGCTGCCTGCCCTGCCAAGACACAGGACCAGCTCCCGCAAGGGCTAACCTCTGCAGGGAAATGGGAAGTGATGGGAGAACAGGGAAACCCACAGAGCAGCGCTCTTCCTGGTCTTGTGTCCAGGGACTTTCCCCTCAGGACATGGAGAAATGGACTGAAGATGAGAGAGGGGAGATTCACATTAGGCAGGAGCTCTTCCCTGTGAGGGTGCTGAGGCGCTGGCACAGGGTGCCCAGAGAAGCTGTGGCTGCCCCATCCCTGGCAGTGCTCAAGGCCAGGTTGGACACAGGGGCTTGGAGCAAGCTGCTCTAGTGGAAGGGGTCCCTGCTCATGGCAGGGGTTGGAGCTGGGTGAGCTTTGAGCTCCCTTCCAACACAAGCCATGCTGTGATTCTATGTCCAGAGAGCACCACCTCTCCCAGCTTGATAATTTGGGGTCCATAAAGCTTAAAGTAACAGTTTGCAGGGCAAGTATTTATGCAGCAGAGCAAGCATCCCACAGGCATTTAGCAGCACGGTGAACACAGAGGGCTGCAAAGCCAGTTGCAGAAGGCTGGGGGGGGGCAATGCCAGGCCAGGAAGAGCAGTGGGCAGCCTGCAGCATCCCACCCCACGGCTGCCTCCAGGCAGAGGAGCTGGCTCTGCCGCAGTGGGCAGGGCCAGCCCCGCTGGTGCAGGCACTATATATAGCTGCTGCTGCAGCTCAGGTAGCTGCCTACCAGGAGGGATGCAAGGGAGCCAAAACGTGAGCTGGCAGAGCTCATGTGAGCCAGGTACACTGCTTATTGCCCACCCCATGAGCTGCTGGGCAGCGCAGCAGAGCTCAGCAAGAACTGCACCCCAAGCTCTTTGCCCATCTCCAGGCACAGAAGCAGGGAGCTGCTTGCATTTCAAGCTCTGTTGGTGACATTAAGTGGAAATGGGTCTGGACTTTGAGTGGCACACAGAGACATGCTGCTGGGATGCCCCTGCTAGCTGCGGTGCTGTGCAGAACAGCCACACTGGCTGAAGGAGGCAGGCAGCTTTGCTTTTACTATGACAAAATCTATCCCAACCAAAAGCTGCCTGCTAGCCAGTGCTGCCCAGCTCAAGAGCCAGTGGGGAGACCATCCTGCAGGGATCCTACCTCGAAACCAGCCTCAGGTCTCAAGCTGGCTCTACTGCATAGTGTAGTAATGGGCAGCCTGCTGCTCGGTGAACCTTCTCCTCCTAGGGAGCTGCCACAAAGCATTTCAAAGATCAGTACCAGACCAGTGTATGACAGCTCTGTCATCACTCCAGCAGATAACCTGATGCTCTCAGCATGGCACAGAAGTCCAGCAAAACCCCCAGAGACAATGCACCAGCTCCCATCTTGTCAGACTGCATAGATGCTCTGATGCTTAGCAACCACTTGAGCTGTTCTGGTGGTAGTTGGAGGGCGTTTGGCTGCTGGGGCGGGCTGTGAAATTCCCCTCCTCCTGATCCCCTGTCCTGTTCCTTGCAGACAGAGGCCTTGCAGCAGCTCCGGAAGGACTCGGAGAGCATCCGGAGCCGATACGCACACTACTTCGACCTCTCGCTGGTCAACAACGGGGTGGAAGAAAGCCTCCAGCTGCTGCAGGAAGCCTTTGAGCAGGCCTGCAACTCCCCCCAGTGGGTGCCTGTCTCCTGGGTCTACTGAGAGGGCATCCGACCCCAGCCGCTTCCCATCAGCCATCCTGCAGCCATGGGGAGAAACCTCCTCAGCTTCCCCTGATCCACACACAGCCCAGCACAACTCCCTTCCTCTGCTGCTCCACGGACATGGTCTCAATGGGTGACGTACACAACAGGATCTCCGGATCCCCTCTCCCAAGGGAACACAGGACAGGGAATGCCCAGGGGACAGCTGCCTCCCTGGGTACCACAATGCAGTGCTAAGTGGCTACAGCCAAGGCCAGAGCACCCCATTAGCTCAGAGCACAGCTCCCACCTCACTGGGCAGGGGAAAGCTCAGTCCTGCTGGAGCACCCAGGCGATCTCTGCATCAGTCCCAAGGGAAGTGAAAGAGCAGAGGCTTTGCAGGCAGATGTCCCCTACCATGAGAGCACACTGTGCCACAAACACCTCAACAGCCTGGCTGGAGGCTGCAAGGCTTCAAGGAAACCCACAGCTTAGGAAGCTTCACACAGACAAGGGTTCCTCCTCACACATGCGAAAGAGCAGGAAAAGGAGAGCATGGATTTGATGCTGGTGGCATGGAGCATGCCACCCCCAGGCAGGCCTCAGCCCATGTTCTGAGGTTGGAATTGTGTGATTCCCCCTGTGCAACTGTAGCTGTAAAAACTCCATGTATTTCAGCTCTCACTGTGCAGCTTGGATTGTTCCCACCTCAGCAGCAGCCAAGGAAGTCCCATGGACTAAACCCCAGAGGGACAGACAAGTTCAGTGGGTAAACCTAGCCACAAGTAGCAGTTGCATGCAATAGAAACAGCGTCTCTACAGAGATCATCCAGGCATGCTTTTTCTAGGGTGTACTTGCACACTGTATGTGAGCATAAAAGCCATCCCTGCAAAGGGGATACTCCTGCAGGAGTATAGTGAAGCACAAACCCCACCGTGACCATGTCTGGGAAGCATCACCCTGGCTCCTGGGCAAACCATAGCCATCATTAGGTGAACTCTCTCATTTGTGTGTTCAGCAGTCAGCTAAGAGAAAGGGGTTCAGAAGTCTTGTGCAGTTCTTAAAGGATGCCAAAAATACAATTGATGTGCAATAGGGACCTTTGTTCTGATCCACTGCAGGGAAACAACGAGCAGCAATAAACGTGTGCTGAGACATTGCCATGACTGGTGTTGTACCTCTTCCTCTGAGCACTCCCTGGGAGTCTGTTCTCACCTCTCTGCCCCTAATGCACAAGGTTGGGCAGGCCAGCACCAAAACGTCCCTCCAGCAACCATCAGACCTCTCTAGCACAGGCAAAGGAGGAAAGAGAACACCCAGCTTCCAGGCACACCTCAGTACATATGGGTTTCACCCACGTGGAGGGCGGCCCCATGGCATCTGTGAAGCCCTGACCAGCAACAAAGGCCCCTCTGGTCAAGGTCCACATCAGCATGACCCCTTTCCCTGCACCAGCAGCTTCTTCAGCAGAGCAGCACAAAGGCTGGGCAGAAGGGGCAGCCGTTACCTGCCCTGCTGCAGCATGCACATGCATTAAGCTGCCTCCCCTCCCCAGGAACAGACCACTGATCTCTTACAGGAGGCAGATGAGGAAGGAAATCACCCGTTCAAAAATAGGGCTTTTATTTTTATGTAAAAAAGAAGTGAATAAAAATGGACTTTTTTCTTTCTGCTCAGGTTCAGGCAGCCACCAGCTGCTGGCCCCACTGCCTGCGTGTATCTCTAGCGTTGGAGGGGAGAAAAGTGAGATGGTTAAAAGCAATGCATAAGGCTAAGACAAGCGTTAACAGAATCTGTGCAGGGATGAAGCTCAGAACAAAGCAGAGTGGATCCTTCCCACGTGGAAGGATCCCATTAAAAGGGCTAAAATCTGGCTCAGCATTACCCCTGTGAGAGGAAAGAGACCTCCCCCCCCCAGCAAGCCAGCCAAGATAATGAAATCAGGACAAGAAACCACTCAAGGCCCACAGCCCATGCCCCCTTGCAGAGGTGCCTCTGGCCAAGCTTTTCCTCATGAAGACTCCAGTCCCAACAGCCCTTTAGCACAGCATACCAGTCACTTCACTTCTTCCCCCCAGCAGCATCCCAGTTTCCAGCCTTCCAGAGCATACTGGCTATCAAAGCCATGGAAGGCAACTGGAAGTGTGGTCCCATTCCAATAACCGGGTAGAGGAGAGCGAATTGCAGCCAGAGGTACACACTGACAAGGTCCCTGGGGCACTGGGTCTGGGGATCAGCCAACAGCTAACACGCAGGTCCCAGCACTATGAAGCAAAAAGCAGGAATTCCATGTTCTAATCCTTTTATGATAAAGAGTTAAAAAAGCACTGAGGAATCTCAGGGTGGACTATTTGATTTCATCTAGCCAAGGGTTGAAACAAGTATATGGCCAGGTCAAAACAAAGAGCCCTTCCAATAACCGATTTGACTGTCATTCATTCAGATGGGCCATGGCAAAGCCAGTCCTCCAGACACCAACATTCTATGACTGTTGGTAACAGCTCCAACCTTGGAGAAAAGGAAGAAAGAGGCAGGACAAGAGGAGGGAGAAACATTATTCCTCCCTCTCAAGATGAAATCAGAGACACCAAGAGCCAGAAGCTACAGCTTCCCTGAAGATACCACTTCTATTGGCATCATGGTGCTCAGCTTTAGGGAGCAATCCAGTGCAGGGGCAGTGAGGCATCCTGCTCCTCTGGCAACCCTTAAAACAGGATGAGGAGAGGTACCTGAGCAGGGCATATCCTGGGCAAACACACCCGCTCACACGTGTACACAGCCAAAAAGGAACCTGGAACTTGCTGGCCACTCTGCCATGCAGCCAGTCCTCTTTTTGTCAAGGCCTCAGACTCCTCCCTCCCTGCTGAGGAGGTTTTCCTGCTTTGGACAGATCCAGTTGCTTACTCCGAGCTCTCTTCCACCTCCTTTTGTTTCTTCTTCTTTTTCTTCTTGGTGCTGGTCTCACTGGTCTGCAAAGAGGTTGGAGATATCAGGAAGGAGTCAAAAAGGAATCCCTCACTACTCATTTCAGTAGGAACAGTCCCACTCCAGATGCAGCGCAGGCTCCCCATGGCTGCAATCCTCTCACTACCATACAAGCACTCAAGCACACTGTCAGCACCAAATGGATCCTGCTGGGACCCATTACAGGGCACCAGAGCCCAGAGGCCTGGCAGGAGCATGTACCTATGAACAGCCCCAGGGCACAGACTGCTGTTCACCCCATCCCTGCCTCACCACAGATCGATCCCTAACGCTTCACCTGCCCAGTCTCCCACCACCTTCAACCAGTTCAGCCTGTGGGGAGCCTGGCACCTGGGACACACACACATCAGGATGCTGATGCGTTTGTCCTGCAGGTATTAGGGAGAGACAGCAACCTCCTCCCCGTGCTTGGACTGTACCATGGGAGCACCCCGTTACGTACCGCTTCTATTTGCTCTCCTCCGCTCTCAGCTGCCTCTTTGGCTTTCTTCTCTTTCTTCTTCTTTTTCTTCTCCTTTTTGATGTGCTCCTGTGGCGGTGGGCTGGCAGGGGATGGCGGGCTCACTGTCTCCTCACTTTCACTCTCTGAATCTCGTTTCCTCTGTCAGAAAAACATGCTGTCAGGCACACCACCTCCCAGAGCTGCTCCCGTGATGGAAGACCTGTTTGCAAGCCCATTGCAACTATTTTACCTGATTCAATCAAACTACAGAGTTAACAGTGCTTCGAGCAGCAGGGTGAAGGTACACACTTGCCAGTAGTCTCCTCCCACATACACTGGCTAGGATTTGCATCTGCACCCTGTACTTCCTGTACCCCACATGATGCAGTTTGAAACTGCTGCATCTTTCCAAGTGCGTGCACAAGCCCTGGCTTAGACCCTTAGATGACAGCACAAGCCCTGACTTGGGGCCCTTTAGGTGCAGCTCTTACACGGACATTTCCACAGCAGGCTGTAGCCTCCAGAAAGGTTTTCTGGCACAACAGATCTCCCCTGTGGCTCCACACAATGGATTTCCTTGGATGCTACAGCTTGTACACCACAAATCAGAGCTCCTCATTCTCATACTGGGCACTACAGGGCTCACAACCAAAGGACAACAACCCAGAGACGAGGCCCTGAACAAGTCACCCTACAGCTAGCTCATGGGCCATGCAACCACAATACACATCTGGGCACTAGGCTCCCAGAATGTGAAACACCTTCCCCTGTAAAACAATCAACTCAATCCAGCACCTGATACCAGCTGCCTTAAAGAAATAGATGCATATCCACCCTTCATCAGGGCCCAAACCATCTCACAGCCAGCAAGCTGTAAAGATACTCACTTTTGCAGCCCTCTCTGGCTCTGAAACAGCAGGTGCCTCTTTCTTGGAAGTATCCCTGAAAGAGAAGATCCCCAGACTGAGCAGGACAGTGAGGAACTGACTCGCACTGCTCTGTACAAGCACAGAGCCCCATCCTGTCTCAAGGGCTCTGTAACCCACGCTGGGTGCTGGGTGGGGAAGCTGGTGTGGGGAAGACCTGCAGCCTGCACCAGGGTCAGAGAAGGCAGGGCAACAGCAAGGCTTCCCCCAGTTAATTTAGCAGACTGACTCCCTCTAAAACCACAAGCACAGGCTAGAAAGGGATAACTGTCTGCTCAGGGCCTTTCCCTCCCTCCCAGCAGCATGCTCCAAGAAATGCCACCATAACCCATAGGTCCAAAGAGCCACCAGCTGTGTGCCTATATGCTTTAAGCACAAATGGCAGCAGCCCAGCCCTCACTGCACGGGGCTCCCTTCTACCCCATCATGCAGGAGCTGTACCCACCTGTAATCCACATACTCCTTCTTCCAAGAATCCGGTGTGCTCTCATTGGGCTTTCCATGCTTGTCCAGCAGACCCTTCTGGATCATCATCTTCTTTTGACTGGCCTGAGAGTAACACGCAACAAGTCAGACTGCAGCTCCAGGAAGAAGAAATCATCCCCAGAGCTTCATCCACTCAACCTAAGAGGAGGTACTCCAGGAACAAACCAACAACTACAGCATCATTTATTTATCACTTCTCTAAGGACCTCACAAACATCCCCTGCACAGCAGCCTATAGGAACGCATATTCACCACCGAATAAAGGCTAATTTGTAGGGGAAGTAACAGCAGCAGCATGATTCTGCACACAGAATCATAGAATAGAATATTCTATATGGACCTTCAACCATGGATTGGTTTCACCACCTTAGTGACCTGCGACATTTCAGCTGAACCACTCCAGCTGCAAATGAAGGGCACTGCTAAAGACTCCAACGTGCTTGCACTGGCCTCCATCACCTCACATTTGCTGTCAGCCTCTCCAGAGCCATCAGTATGGGGTGGTAGATGAAGGTCATCTTTGCAGAGCTCTAATGCCATTCATTTCACATCATTTGGCTCTTTACTAGAGGAGGGCTGGTGCTGTACAGACCTGAGCAGCAGCCCCAGCTGAGCCTTAGGCAGAGCTGCCCAGGATCCATGGAGAGGGAAAGCCTCACTCCCACTGTCATTGGGCTGACACAACCCCAGCACTGGGAACCATCACCATTGAGGCTCCAGGAAAGCACATCTCTGCCTGAGGGTCGTGAGGTCCCACGTCCTGGAAATGACCATGCCCCCACAGCACTCACCTTGGGACCGAGGCCCCATTTGCGGGGGTACGTATCTCTCTCCATGATCACTCTCTTGATCTTCGCCACAACACCATGGTCACAGGTAGAAATCACTGCTGTGGTCATCAAGGCAATGGCTGCAAAAGCAGGCAGAGAGTTCATTAACTCTTAACAGCACAACTGTGACAGCAATGCAGGAACCTGCTGCGTTCAGCCTGTTCTCCTGTCAGCACAAACAGGAGCAACACCTCCCACCAGTGCCATTTCACCCCAAAACCTCACTGAAGGTAGGTTATGAACTAGATCTTCAGAGACCTGCTCTGCTCAAAGGCAGCAAGTCCATCAGTGATGGATTAACCACACCATAAGCCCCTATCTTACACAGAAAGGCCGGTTCTGGATCAGCAAACACAGCAAGACCACTTCCCAGAGCAGCACCAACACCACTACTGGATGTGAAGAGCTCTGTAAGCAGCTCCTGGAGCACTTCCAGGCAGCTCAAGGAACCATACCAATACAGAAAGGAGCAGTGATGCTTCTGTATCAGCTCACAAAACCTTGCAGAGCCAAACATAGGAGACTAATCCTACCAATAAATGTTTTCATTGCCAGGTCCCCAGGATGACCAGAGTGCAGGCAGCACAAACAGCAGGATGGAACAGCTTGGCTGTTTACCCCTCCAAGGCCCAACAGTCCCATGGCTCTGGCCAGAGCATGAGACCATGCAGCACTGTGCACCATGACAGATCATCTGTACAGTCTGTCAGTCCCTGGCACCTATACAGCTTCTCTGAAGACCCTGGTTAGAACAAAGCACCACCAGTGTCACTTCACAGAAGCTGGGAGTCGCTCAAGTCCTTTTACACTGATTTGCTCAGGAAGTGTGATGCGCAGGTGGCAGTATGTGATCAGACACCATCCTTCATCTCAGCGAGGACAGAGCCCCCACAAAGAGGGGCTCCAACCGTGCCGGCACCGCTTCACTCCTGCAGGCAGCCAGCCACACACCACAATAGCCCCCAGTAGAACACTGGCAGACCAGAGGGTCTCTGGAGGCTGCACAGCACCCAGACCCTAGAACAGGAATCGGGGTGCTGCAGGAGGGCAGCACCACTGCACTCAGAGAATGGATAAACTTTGTCATCATCTCACACACAGAGCACACCTGAGCATCCACACCTGAAACCAGGCTGAGGAACTGTTCACACCTTGCCAAGGACTGACACTGCCACTGTTTAACATCCTGCCCGACACCAGCTGCCTTGGGCCACACTAACCCACAGTGCCCATTAGGAAGCACTACCTAGACCATCTACAGATGGATGGGGATGCATTTGCTGTGCATTCACTGGAACACAGCTTGTTATTTCTACTGCTAGCTGGGCACAAGAAGAACAGGAGTTTTGTACCTAGGCAGATAGCTTCTCCTTTTGTGGTGATGACAACAATCTCCTGATTAAGCTCAATTCCATCTTCATACCTGAGGACACCAGGCAGCATAATCTTGGCTCCGTAGCAAATGGCATTAACCTGAAAGCAAAGGAAACAGGCTTACAAGTCAATATGTTAATAAAGACACGGTAAGAATTGCCTCTAATATTCTAGCTTCCCATTGCTGTTACAGTCCCAGCAATAACATTTCTTCTTGTCCATTATATAAAACTTCAGAACTTTCTAGGAGAACTAAGCAAAGCAAAGCACCTATCACAGCAAACATGTGAGGCAGATCTCTTATAACCATCAGCATCCTCCTGAAGTGAGGAGAGCAGCTTCTCTGCCACTTGATTCTTGCCTCTTGCATCTTACTGCTCATCTGGCAGTGGCCCATACTAGGTCCCACACAGCTCACCATCAGGACAGCACTGGACACCAGGTGGGCCCTGATCCTCCATGTATTATATCAGCTGTACAAGTGAGGAGGACACTGCAGCCTCTGGCTCTCAGCTAGCACTGCACTGGGAGCTCACCGCGCTGTCTTTCATGACCAGCCGCTTGTGTGAAGTCAGCAGTTTCTCCAGCGGCAGGATAACTCTTCGCAGGTAGCTGTCATCCTTGTTGTTGTCATACTGCCACTGTGCATCCAGTACATCATGCATGGTCACCATGTTGTCCTGGGAAGACAAAGACGCAAGCTTTCTAAACTCTCCTCCAGCCACTAACACACACAAACAGCTGAAGTCCAACAAAAGAAGTGAAAAACAGATGTCCAATTCAGAAGCATCAAGAAAGCAAGCTAAAAGAGGCAAGAATACTTTCCATCAACAACTTGAGTCAGCCTGACTTGTGCTACCCCTGACTTCAACCTTCCTAATCTCAGAGAGCACTTGGATCTAATGTATCAGGTGTGTCCACATGAAACTTTGAAATATGACCAAATTTAAACAACTGTCTGGGACTTCTAGGCAAAGAAGTCTAAATTAACCAGCTCTGCAATCCGTGACATGGAATCAATTCTTGAAGCAGCTGTACACACCCAATCCCTGGAATTCAGAAATGACTGCAGGGATTACAGCTGCAGTAAAGCACAGATTGGTGGGGAAGCACTTCCACTGATACATGTGTTTTGCAAGAAAAGAAATCAGTTCTGGAGTCTGGACTGGCAGCAGGATCCAGCTATGACCAGCCTAAAAGGACCGTATGTGTTCCAAGAGCCTGCAGCTTCCCAGGCTCAGTTTGATGAAGCACATTCCCTGCATTATGCCCTGACACCAAGTGGTCACAGACTGCAAAGCAGACAGCCCATCCACCTGAACTCGTGGCACATGCAGTTTGTAGGCTGAGAAACAAAGGTGGCATGAAACACACTTTCAGTCACCATGGTGCACTTCCCAGTCATTCACTGTCCCAAAGCTTAATTACCAGAACAGGGACGACACCTTGAACTGAACTCAACACTTTGGTTCCAGACCATCTATGGCAACAGCTCCCATGTTTTTGGGGCTACTCACTAAACTCCCGCATGCTGCCATGCACCAGTACCTTCTCCTAACCCTGTAAAACTAATGCAGCTCCAAAGCACTCAAGCAATTCTGACAACTTCAAGCTGGCTGGTTATAGCTAGTGCTACCACTGTACCTTCTCTCCCAGGATGCCCGAGCGCACTCTGCGGAGCTCCTGCATCTGGCCCCCTACTCCAAGCAGCAATCCAAGGTGAACACAGAGTGTTCGGATGTATGTGCCTGCTTCACAGCTCACCCAGAAGATACCTGAAATGGAGGGCAGGACAAGAGAGTATTTAAACACATATCCCAGAATGAATCACATCTAGAAACTCCCTCCGAGAGAAGCTGTACACTGAACCCTTCACAGAGCCATCAGCCTGGGGTGATAGATGAAGGTCATCTTTGCACTGAGTGCTAATGCCATTAAAGTGACATCATTTGGCTCTTCAATGAAGGATGCAGCAGTAGGAAACACAAAGGATTTGCTTCTCAGCACATCCAAGTAATGCATGATGCAGTTACTGCTTGATGGTGGCGAGGATTTAAGACATTTGCCAAGAATAGGAAGCAGCCCATTTCACAGGAAATTTTATCAGCCATCAGCTTAATAGGAAGAAGGCAGGCAAGCCCTGTTTTACCTAATCTTCTCTCAGGATCATACTCCACCAGCTTGCTCTCATAGATGGTTCTGACTCTCAGTTGTCGTTTGACAGCGGCAATGAGGGGCGGTCGCTGAAACAGCGCGCCTGTCAGCGTTTCTATTGCCTAAAGACAGAAGCAGAAGTAACTGTTGACACCTGTACCCCAACACCTTGGGGTCTGCAGCAACTATGACCACTTCCATGAGCAAGAAGGTTCACCATAATTTGGTGATGTTATATTTAATAAAGCCAATGTGAACCAGGGATGTGGTCAAAATGCGACCCCAGTGAGCACAGCTGGGCTTTTTCATCAGGTGGCAGTATGTGATCAGACATCATCCTTCATCTCAGTGAGGACAGAGCCCCCCAAAGAGGGGCTCCAACCATGCCGGCACCGCTTCACTCCTGCAGGCAGCCAGCCACACACCACAACAGCCCCCAGTAGAACACTGGCAGACCAGAGGGTCTCTGGAGGCTGCACAGCACCCAGACCCTAGAACAGGAATCGGGGTGCTGCAGGAGGGCAGCACCACTGCACTCAGAGAATGGATAAACTTCATCATCACCTCACACACAGAGCACACCTGAGCTCTGCTCCTACCCTCTCATCTGTACACTTTGCACGTGCAGTGCCAGCATGCCTGAGCATGCTGAGACTTACCCTGGCAAGCTGAGCCTCACTCTCAATTGCATTGTGCAGCCGAACAATTCCCACATACTCTTTGCCTGAAAAAACGACAAGAGCAGTCAGGAGTGGCCACTTGCATTTAATGTTGACCTCAAGGTCCTCCCAGCTTCACAGCCAGAGCCCTGAAGGGTTCACAACCACCTCTCCTACAAAGTGCTCGCAGTTTGGTATGGAGTTGGCTATTCTTCCAATGAAATAAATCTGAGCTACATTTATTCTTCACTGACTTCATTTCACTGGACTCACAGAGGCCATAAGTTCTGTTAGCACACAAAAGCAGTCTGTCAGAAATGTTTTCAGTGACTTCAAACTGCACAAGCCTCAACAAAGCAATCAAGGAAAAGAACCTGATTCAGCATGGATGCACCCTCCCTAGCTTGGAGTGAGGACAAGCAATCACTAGGCTCAAGGCACTGAAGACCAAGGGTAGTCCTTGTCCTTTCAAGGACTGGAAATCTCCATTTTGTCTTCAAAAGAACCCCTCACCTCCCCGTTTATACTGCAAATGATCCCAGGCAATAAACATACCTGCACTCTGCTGAGATTTGACCAGTCGTGTCGCCCTCTCAATGCACACAATGAGGCACCCAGTCACCTTAGGATCCAGAGTGCCACTGTGTCCTGTCTTCTCTACTCGAAGGATGCGTCGGATCCATGCAACCACCTCGTGGGAAGATGGATTGGAAGGTTTGTCGAGGTTAATAAACCCAGACCTACAGTGCAAGATGACAGAGAGCAGGAACTAAGCACTGCTGCAAATACATCAAGAGCATAAAAATGCTGACAGTATTTGTTATGGCTGCAAAGAAAGGTATTTCTCTGGTGCCAAGTGAGCTGTGAGCCTTACAACACTGCTCTCAGTGAGCACATGTTGAGCTGCTCTGCACGCAGCAGTGAGAATATTTCATGGTCAAAGAACTCTCTTTTCCCCAAACTTCTCATCACTATGCTGCATTTAAGCCAAGGCAAATATTAGAAACAAACTCCAAGCAGTCTCAAAGCCTAGCAGGCCAAAGGACTTTCCATAAGACCCCAGAGAACTCAAGTGTTTACACGATCATCCACAGACCAGCCACAACCCCAGAACAAAGCAAGCATTAGAGGAAGTGATCAGCAGCTCCTATTTAGACACTTAGTGGTTAGTAGCAAGGCACTGAGGTGAGCAGAAAGGTACAAGGGGAATGTTGAAGATATTAACTGCGAAAGAGAAATAAATCACTCCAGCCCTTCCTGCACTCACCTCACATAGTCGGAAATCTCTCTCTTCAGGGGATTAGCACCAAAAGAAAGAGGTGTGTAGTGTGCTGTCATCACATTTAGCTTGTCAAAGTTCTACAAAAATCAAAGCAAAAGTTACAAGTGTTTGTGAGCCCACCTTAAGTTTCAGGGTTGCTTTGCCCCAGTACATCTCCCCTGTTACACAACGTCTGATTTGTACATTTGAGTGTAAGAGGCTGTTCCAAAATGAAAACGACCCAACAATTAAACCACGCTTTATGGGAAGAGAAAGAAACAGAAGTCCTGCATTGAAAGTGATGGGAAAGCAGCAGAATACCGACCTTTACAATGGAGCAAAAACCCAGTGTGCCCCAGAAACTCAGCACAAGCTATTCTCTAAGTACACACAGACCACAAGCAACCAAAATAAATAGAAGAAATCTGGCTGGGTCTTTACGGGACAGATGGCAAACTTATAAAGCAGGCATAAAAATGATGCTGCAAGACAAATGCTGTAACACGATTTCTGCATACAGAGAGCTGTTCCCGAGCCGTAGGGCTGCACAGAGAAGGAGCTGTGCCTCTCCAGGGGTCTGCACAAAAGATGCAGCAGGACCAGGGCCACGAGGTTGCCTACGGCCAGCCTTACCTTCAGCAGCAAGGGCCACTGCGACGTGTCCAGCTGGGCGACGCGGGACTCGGGCTTGATGAAGAACTCCTCCGTGTGCTGGATGTCCTGATGGGGATGAAGGTACCGAGGTCAGAGGGGGAACCGCGGAGGCCCGCGCTCCCCCTGCTGCCTCCACGTGGCCCCGGCCATGCTCCCGCTCGGGCACGTTGTGAGGCACCGCCGACCCCCAGGCCCTGCCCTTAGGCCCCACGGATCGAGCTGCGGAGCCCCCCATCACCTTTTCTCCCTTCTCCCCTCTAACCCGGCGGCCCCGCACTCACCGCTACATCCTCATCGGCAAGCGCCCGCTTCTCCTTCTTCCGCCGCTTCGTCACGCTGGAACCTGCGGGAGCAACACGGTGAGCATCCCCGCCGGCAGCGGAGGGGGCCCCGGAGCGCGCCCATAGCCCCGACCCCCCACCCCACCCCGGGCCAGGCCCTCCGCCACGCACCGTTCCCGTCCGCCATGGCCGCACCGCGTGGTGCCGCCGCCACCGCCGCCGCGCAGGGACGGCGGAGGCCGCCCCTTCCCGACAAGCCCCGCGCGCGGCCGGTCCCGCCTAGCGCTGAGCGCGCCCAGGCCTCGACCTACCGGCGGCCGGAGGAACCGGATGTCCCGTCCCCTCCCGTGGGGAAGCGGCTTTGGGTGCCTCGGCTCCGCAGGCAGCAGTCGTTTAACGGAGCGGGGAGCCGTTGTCCCGTCTGAGCCGTTACAGCGCAGTGAGGCGTTAACACAGCGGATGGACCCTCCTCGTTGGGGTCCAGGTTTGGTGAGAGCGGACTTGGATCCCTACTGAGTTTCCAGACTGGATACCACGTGCTTGCCTTCCTGCTGGTGCTGGTTGAAGCCCTTGGACCAATGGACCCCCACCATTCTCCAAAGCCCCCTTATAATCCTGCTTCAGTTTACTCTTATCTCCTTGCAAGCTTTAGTCACCACCCCAGACTGAGTACCTGTTATCCCAAATAGGATCTACCCGAGGCCAGGCAGCTCAATCTCCTGACTCCAGGGTTAACTTCACATTCTCTTAAATGATCTTTTTCTTTGCATAGAACCACTCAGTAACAGGTTAACATCTGCCTAGGAAGGCTTATAGCCAGAAGAAATGTTAGTGATATATTAGCGATGCACAATGATCCACAACTTATCATTTGATTTCCTCACATAACCAAACCCCCAGTGTTCCAGGTGTGAAGGCTGTAACACTGGGGACATGGGAAGAATACTTCACACAGGACACCCCCTCCACTGGCTGCACTGCGAGAGGATTAGGGATAACATTAGAAACCATGGACTAAAGCTCAAGAGAAGCAGTGGGGACATCACAGGCAACTGGGGTGGGAATCTATAAGTAATACAGAGGGAGAGTACAAGGTGGTGCAGAAACAAACTCATCTGTTCTATGTAAGATGCTGCCAGACTGCTGCTGGCACCTGTCCTCAGGCAGCTACTTGCAGGTCACTGATCAGCTCCTTTTTTTCCACCATGAGAGACAAATAGTCTCTTTGGCTGCACTACCTTCGCTTTCAGGGGGAAACGAAAATAGTTTTATGCGCTGCCTTTTCTCAAAGCAACTTCGAATTCGCAGATGTGCAACCCCTCCAGCACCCTTACCCCAGGTGATACCGCTCTGGCAAGTTCTCCTGTCTGCAAATTGCAGCTCTTTAAGAAACAGCCTGTTTCTGCCGTTCTGCTTTAGCATTACACTTTTTCAAAGCATGACAACTTTCAATATGCACAATGAGTAGTTTACTATGACACAACATAAGATGAACACATTTGCTCATCAATTATTACTTGCTTCTGTTATAGAATTCATATTAAAAATAAATAACAAAATAGCAGATAAACTGACACAGACTGTGGCTTCAATGATAAGTCCAAGCACGACCCTGCGGCTCTGCAAAAGGCCCATCCATGCCCACGGTGGTGCTCAGAGCCCCTGTCCAGCAGGGCTCAGCATCTCCTGCAGCACCAGGTGGAGGAGGTGGTTCTGCTCTGCGCTAAGCAGCGGCCAAAGCTCGGCCTGCAGGGCCTTCAGCGCCTCTGCGTCCTTCTCCTGGCACGCCAGCACGGCCGATTGCAGCAGCAGGAAGAGCTCGGACGGTAAGTAGCTCGCTGCAGGCGGCAACCCTCCGCCCGCCCCGGCGCCGCCACCAGTCCCGGGCCCCGCACCGCTCTCGGGAGCCTCCCAGCAGTACTGCTCCAGCGTCCGGGCGTGCTCGGGCAGCAGCTTGGCGGGCGGCGGCTGCAGCAGCAGCAACAGCAGCACCCGCGACACCTCGCAACGCGCCAGCACGTCCATGAAGGCACCACCGGGGGCTCCCCCGCCGCCGCCACCACCACTCAGCCCGGCCGCGGCCAGCGCCTGCGCCCGAGTCAGCGCCGCCAGCGCACCGGCGTAGTCGCGACCCAGCAGCAGGCAGGAGGCCCGGTCGGCCAAGCACCGCAGAGCCTCCAGGGGCAGCCGCGCCACCGCCAGCAGGTCGGCTGCCCGCTGCAGAGGCGCGGCGGCACTGGCGGGCCGTCCCGTGTCGCGCAGCGCCGCGGCCAGCTCCAGGCACAGCCCGGCCGCCAGCGCCGGCTGCCCCCGCTCCAAGTGCAGGCGGGCGGCGAACGCTCCGCAGCTCTGCGCCGCCGCGACGTGTTCGCCGAAGCCGCCGCGCAGCCCCAGGCGTTGCCGCAGGTCGCGTTCCTGACGCAGGAAGAGCCGCGCGGCCTCGCCCAGGGCGGCCGCCTCGGCGGGGCCGTGGAACAGGCTCTGCGCGCACCGCGCAACGGCCAGCTGGCACCAGGCCGCGTAGGGCAGGCTTTCCTGGGCGCGCAGCTCCCTCGCCAGCGCCGCGAACTGCTCGGCAGCCTCCGCCACGTTCGGCTTGCGCAGGAAGCGCCGCCGCAGCTTGGCCGACACCAGCCGGTATCGCGACAGGAAATCGCCGTCGCTGCCCAGGCCCGGCCCGGAGCCACCCGCCCCACCGGGGCCGGAGCCGCCTGCAACCGACAGCATCGCGCACCAGCCGGAACTGACGCAACCGCAACGCTCGCTACTTCACTCCGCCTCGCGTAGCCGCTGGCCAATCAGCGCCCGCTCCGCGGTCACGCGGATGGCGGGGCAGGGAAGAGGCGTGGCTATTGGACAAGTCTCAAGGATGCTCCGCCCACTAGTGGGCGAGTCCATAGGGCATGACCCGCGCCTGTCGGCGCGGTCTCATGGGTTACCGTAGCCCGGTGGTCCCGCTTGCGGTGATTGCCGTCCGGGGGGTAAGCAGTGGTCTCGCCTGCTGCTGCAGGCACCGTCCGGCTGCAGTGGGTGAAGTGCAAGTACAGATGGGCCGTGGGTGCCTTTAAACCGAGTGGTTTCGCTTCCCGGAGCGGTGCATGGTGCTTTCCTCAACCCGTCTCCAGGGATGAAGCTGATGTGCCCGACGGGCTGGCGGTGGCCTCGCTGTGCTGTTGGTAGCGGTGCCGCCGCTCTCTGCCCCACCATGGCTCTGTCCTGTGCGCTGAGGCTACAGCACCGGCCCCTTTTGAGCGCTCTCCTGAGCAGCCTGCCTGGCTGGGACCGCAGCTTGCCGGCACAGAAGGCAGCAGCACAGCGGAAGGAGAAGGGAAAGGGCGGTGAGGGCCTCAGCCTGCCCCATTCCTCCTGGGAGGAAAGGTAGGGCTTTACCCAAATGCTTGCTTCCAAAGCACCTGAAGCGATTCGAGCTGGGGTTTGGTTTTGGTTTATTTTTAGATTAGCTTTTCTGTGTTTTGCTCATGCTCACCCTGCCACAGGTACAAGTAGCTCCAGGTTCTGAGGTTTATCTCTGAGCTGTCAGGGTATGAGTGGGCAGCCTGTAATTCCCTGCTTGTCACACACAGACTGTGCATTCTGCTCTGGTGGAATTAATCTGGTACAACATTAACAAATAGAAGGGATGCAGTAGCGGCTGGAAGTGTGAGCAGGTCCATGATGCAGGATGGATGCATTGAGCGATGAGAGAAGCATCTTGTTCCTTTAGGAGAAAACTCCAGGGAGATGGGACTTGGGCTGTGCTAAGAGCAGCAATGGATTGGCAAAGCCTCTGATTCAGTGGGAGAAAGTAACAGACCCCATCTGAAGCTACAATATATTGTGTATCTGTCTTTTTATTTTCCCCTTTTCTGCTTGCACTTTGGTTTGGTTTTTTTATTTCCCCATTTGAATAATCATTCTTCTGGCTTTACCATCCTGGAATCAGATCTCACCAAGGGCTTGGCAGAGCCTCTCTGGGTCACTGGGCAGGGGAAATACTGTTCCTGGCCCTGCCCTCTAAAGGGGGATCAGAAAGATACCTGGGCATCACTGGCCAATCTGCCAAAGGCTCAACCTGTCCTCTGGAGAGCTGGTCATTGTGGTTCCTGGGTCACTCTTCCAGCCACGAGTGTTCTGCACTGGGAAGGTGCCATGAAAAGGGAGTTTCATTGTTCACAGCCAGCTTTGGTACAGAGCCTGCACCAGAAGGGTCCTGCCCATGAAGCAGTTGGTGAGGATGTTATGCCATAAGGATCAGGAAGTGAGTAGCTCTGAGCACTACTGTGATGCTGTGCTTTCCAGGTTAGCAAACACAGTGACTCCACTGTGGAGACTTCCCTATCAAGAGCAGCTGCAGGTAAGATGTACATGGACTTTCCTCTGTTGTCTTGGCCCAGCTGTCCTTATTATCCCTCCTGAGCAACAGCCCCGAGCATCCTAGTTGCGTAATGGATGTAAACTCTTCAGACCCTGTTTACTGCTGCTTTAATTCTTCATGAATTAAATGTGGAATGAATTCAATGATTTTTTTAAATTAAATTACAATGAATTTTATTTTTTTTAAATTGGAATGAATTACATTAAACGAATCAAATCTGTTCAAGGCTAGAACTGTGAGGTCCCCTGTGGGGGAGTGTATGTGGTCACCAACAGCACAGAAGATGGGCACTCACACAGTGATCCTGCCCAGATGGTTCACTGGGGCTTCAGGTTGGACCAAGTGCTCCAGTGTCTGTGGTCCCAGTGCTTTGGGACCACAGACACGGGATTTCTCTCTCTCTGTTACTCCAAGCAGCTGTGGTGATAGGAAAGGCAGAGCTCCTCTGGGGCTGTGTCCTACTTGCAGTGTTCCCTCCTGTTGGCCTTCCCAGAGGTGGGTGATGGGCTGTCCACTGCTGTGTGGTCCTGCGAGAGTGTTTCTGGCTTAGAACTCCTCTGCAGGTGAAGTATGAAAGCCAGAGGAAGATTTTGCAGACGCTGGCATCTTGTCTTGAGAAGCTGGGCATAGACACACAGCAACCTGGTGGACTCTGCTGTCCTCTCCAGCCTACAGTCCCGTCGGTGAGTGTCCCAGGGGAATGCTGTTCCCACTAAGCTACTAACAGTCTCTCGCTCAAATCCCAGAGTATCTCATGGTGGGGATTACTTGGTTGCAGGTAATGTGTCTGTGGCAGTCCTTGCGAGCTTCTGCTTTGCAGCCTGTGACTGCTGGAGAGTGAACATGCATGGTGATTATGAACTCTTTTTTGTGCCCAGGCCTTCCCTGATAAAGCTGTTACCATTTTGTCCCATAGAGCAATTCCTTCTTCCCAAGGGGAAGTACTGGGGGTCTCGTGCACAAACTCTGTGTCTGCATTTCGCACATTCATATGGATCTTCTCATGTTGGCAACAGAACACCCAGGCTGGGTTTTGCCTTTCCTCTATTACTTTTTCTTTTAATCCAAGGCTTTACTGTTCCTTCTTTCCTCCCCCAGCCTGTTATTAATGGCTACCGAAACAAATCTACTTTCTCTGTGAACCAAGGACCAGACGGGAACCCCAAAACCGTGGGGCTCTACGTGGGAACCGGCAAAGGTCAGTGCAGGACAAGGAGCTGGGCAGAAAACTGTTGGTGTGGGTTAAGGCAAGGCTTTGCGGTGACAGCC